CCGATGCTGGTTTTATGCAGTTTCACATTCTTTACTAAACAAAGATAATATGGTGTTTTATTAACTAATTACAATTATAAAGGAAACATTTAGGTGTTAACAAACAAGAATTTATTAACTAAATTGCTGATGTCTTTCCTAAACGTGTGTGTGAAAGCCGAGTAGAGTTGCAGTCATGTGACATCATCCGCAGTCGAAGGACCCCGAGCCGATCCTGCTCCGACACCGGTGTCTGCAGCTCCGCTGTCTCAGACAAACTACGCTCCTCTCACTCAGCGCCGACTTCACTCAGCTGTTTTCTGACGTTGAAGCCCAGAAACGGAGATTCTAGCAGCTCAGTAATGTGTTCACGACTGAAAGAGAGTTTTCCAACTAATGTCCAGACAGAGCTGATATAACTCCAGCGAGCAGCGACACGCTCAAACCAGCACGACTCTGTGGTTGTGTTTCCTCCCCGACACACAACAACGTGGTCAAGCTGCTCAGACATGTTCATCAGCACAAACCTATGTGAGCACCTGTTGTCATCTAATGTTGTCATTATTATGATGAAGATGAACAAAACAACAGGAGTCTCCTCCTCAGCTCAGATCAACCCCATGATGCAGGTATCTGGCTGGAACAGGTGAGCATCACAGTAAACCAGTGGAGCAAACTGAGCTTTAAATATGTTGGTTTGATGCTCTTTTTCTGCTCCAAAACATGAAAGTTAACAGGTGAGATGTTGCATTTTCATTTAAGATAAAATGATATTTTATTTTGTTGTTGGCCCGTGAGAAAAGATTTAACCTACAGTAAACAGGAAGTGAAAGGCTGCAGATAGATGAATAGAATAGAAAATCCCTTTATTGTTCCTCAGTGGGGAAAGCTAGACGTCACAGCAGCGATGACACGTATTACAGGAGAAAAAAGGAGAATAAAAATAAGAAAAATGAATAAACAAGAAAACATAAATCCTGAATAGATTTTAAAAATGCTGATTATACCACAAGTAATGAATACCACTGATGCCTTTTATTTAAAACTGACTTGCTCGTGTGTCATTTGGTTATTCCACATTCAGTGTTAATGCAGAAATAAGTTTGTTTCCTAATTTAAAGGTTCAACATTGCATATATGTTGATAAAGAAAATGTGCAAATTTGCGTCACTTTTTAATAAATATTAAGTTTGGCCCTCGACTCCGTCCCAGAGTTTCATTTTGGCTCAGTGTGAGTTTGAGCTTGACACCCTGTTCTAGATAAACGTTACTGGAACATCTTTATCTTCTTCCAAGAAGGAACCAGACCAGAAGGTCAGGAGCCGGTCAGTAACCAATCACAGATTTAATGTTGGCGTTAGCGGCCTTCCACAGGGGTCATGGCCTCGGGTCTGGTGACCCTGAAAGACCTCCGTGAGTTTAATAAGTGTCTAAAGCGAACCTGCGGACACCTCGCTGAGACCTTCACCTCCTCTGGATTAAAACAGACTGACTCAGGACCTGCTTGTGTTGTTTTCACCTCCTGTTTGTTAAACATAGTTTCACATCCTCATCACAGCTTCTGTTGCTTCCAGACAATCTGCAACAAACACAAGCCTGGTCGCCTCTGAGTCCAGCAGGAGGAAAGGAGATAAACATAAACATGGCTGTTTACCAACATAAACATGGCTGTTTCCCTCCTGTGGTGTTGGGCTCGTTTTCCCCGACGTGCTGCTTGATAACCTCACCAGAACCAGACTCAGACCCGCTGGAGGTGGTGGTCTCGGTCTGGTTTGATTCCAGTGTGCACACCTCCACCTGACAGTCACAAGGCTACAGCTTAAAGCCAGACCCCTTCCAGGTGCGCTTTGCATTCTGGGACATCAGTAGCTACCAGACAGCCGACACCAGATGACTCACATGGAATATTTCAGAAGAGGTCAATTCTCCATGAGGAGGAATACTCAATACTCAGTACCAAGAAGCTTCTTCCTGTACTTGCTTCTGGTAGCCCCCCCCCCCCCCCCCCCCCCCCCCCCCCCCCCACACACACACACACACACACTTCTGACCAATGAGCAGACTGAACAGACTCACCTGGGTTTTAGACTCTGGTGGTGGTCGGAGGGACCGGTGGCGCCAGCGCTCGGCAGCCTCGCCTCTGTCAGAGCGCCTCGGGGCAGCTGTGGCTACATCGTAGCTCATCCCCACCAGCATGTGAGTGTGTGGGTGAATGACTGATTGTATTGAAAAGCACCTTGGGGGGTTCCATGATTCTAGAAGGTGCTGTATCAAATACAGGCCGTTTACCATCCACTGATTCTAGCCAGCTAGCCTTGCTGTTATAGCTTTAGATCCTCGTTCATGAGTCACTTTGGATAAAAGCAGCTGCTGACAACATAAACATAGGTGTGAACGTTCCAAACATGTGACCTGATTCTTCTGGTCACACCACAGAAGGTCACGGTTTACTCGTTATGGTGGAGAGTCATGAAGACGAACTCCACAGGATTTCAGATCTGTTGAAGCTCAGACTGCCTCTGGTCCGATCCGTCCTTCCTAACAGTTTCCTGGTGTGTGTGTGTGTGTGTGTGTGTGTGTGTGTGTGTGTGTGCACGCGCGTGCGTGCGTGCGTGTGGGTGGGTGGTCCTTACAGCCATGACAGCCCTGATGCCGGTGAAGGAGTCCAGGGAAGGACAGGCCAGAAGATCGGAGTACAGCAGCACCAGCGCTCTGTGGAAACAGGAGAGTCCAGTGGGTTTGTGTCTGAAGCTAGCTGTTCCTGTTAAATGACCCAAACACCGCTAAAGACTGTAAATATTCCTTAAACCTGACCCCGAGCTCCTGACCTCCATAAGCTCGTTTACCTGCAGGCCTTCATTTGTTTGCTCCGAGGCTCCTGGTCGTCTTCATCCTGGAGACTCAGAGTCACACACACCAGCTTCTTCAGTTCTGGAAGTCCGAGGAAAAACAGCGACTTTGGCTTTTCTCTACTCATCCTGCAGAAAAAACTCTGTTATTTTACTGTCATCTGAAACTAATCAGCTGGATTTATTACCTAATAACGTCAGACTTTTACTAAAAACACAAACAGAAAATGTGTCATAATAATGTAAGAGGTTGTGACTTCTCTCATTTAAATAAAAATTGTTGAACGTTTGTGACATTTTTCCAAACTCACTCGTAAAATGAACAAATATTTAATATTATCAGACTTCAAGGGTCTAACAAAACTATAGTTATACTAATCCATTTAAAACGAAAAAGTGACGAAATGTTGTTTTAAGGCACATCCACACATATTTAGCTGTTATTTTATTATGTATTTTAGCTTTAGTGAGTTCATTTTCCATCAAAAATCAAAGTTTGTTATAAAAATACTCATTTAAGATTTATGTAAGTGGCTCACCTTTGCGCCAGAGCGACGAGCTAATTGTTTTATTTTGATTTACCAAAGATTACTCATTCAACAACCTTAAATTTGTATTTCACAACACATTTGTTCGATTATTTCATCAGAAAACTCCTAAACTCGGCGAAGTTAGCAGAGAAACCTTAGTTAGCAGCTCTAGATGCTAAAGATGGGTGGAAAGTCTCGGAGACCTCTCACTCTGTTACAAATATAAGCCACTGTGTTTAAATGAGCTTAAATAAAAATCCATTTTAACATTTGCTCTAAACTCTGTTTAACAAAACAAGTTCCTTTAATTGAATATTGTATAAACGCATTAATATGGATAATAAGTAGTCATTTAGCCGTCAACAGTGACGACTTCTTTTTCACGCAGAGTGCAACTTCACCTCACAGAGATGATCTTTGACTAGGAGCGGAGCGTTTTTCCCGCCGGAGACCCACAGACTTTTAACAAAGGGTCTTCCTCTGCCAACGGGTTTAACCCAGACAGGATGCTGCGATTAAAGCGGAAAAGGTGGCCGCTGCCGCTGACACAGACTCGGTGGTTACTATAACAACCGTTACGTGAGATGTGTCAGATAACGTAATCCTTGCGTGAGAATGGGATTTCCTTGAAAATGGTTCAACTTTGGTGAACTTTCGCCTTGTTCTCGCCCTCGCCAATGACGGATAGTTCAAAGAGCCAATCAGCGAATCCCTCTGTTAACTACCAGGAAGTAAACCAATAGTGGCGCTACAGTGGTTCTGAGGGCGGGGTCACCATTCGTGCCAGGTTCTGCAAAGTGCAGTTTTGTAAAAATGCTTACCATACCGGAAATCCAAAAACCAGTCCTTCAACCTAAAACCAAAACGAGACTAAAAGCAAAACCGTAACTTGTACCAACATACCAACTAGTGAACAAAATAAAATTGTCTGAGAGCAACTATGCTATTTCAGCTTGTTCAGATTTAAAGTGAACTTTTAATCCAGCACTTTGATGTCGGTTTTTAAAGTGCTTTTTAATAAAGTTTTTATTTTTTAAGTTGAATCACTGCTACCCCGTTCACACTGAGAAAAAAATATTCAGCTGATGTATTGTTTTCATGTTTTTAAACCTTATTAAAACAGAGCTCATGTATTTGAGTTTTAAAATTAAGAATTTTATTACACAGCTCCCTAAAATACTTTTGTTGTTAGTTTAATGTTATGTAAACCAAAATGAACAAAATAAACTAGACATGAAACACTTCACCCGAAGATTTTGCAGCTTTATTTTGAAGGTCAAGTCCGGAAGTAGCTAATAACCTGGTTAGCTTTAGCAGGAGTGAGTCGGCTGAGCGGAAACTTGGTGTGGACTGTTTCTGGGATAAATGTCGGAGTGTTTGTGCGGAGTCACGGTTCACACCGACTCTCTGGGATTACGTAACCTCACGCAGGCCGAGTAGTAGCCGCTGTCCAGCGGGACTTTACCTCCGACCCATCCGACGTTCCTACCACACAAATGGGTGACAAGGAAGAGCAGAGCTCCGGTGGAGTCAAGTACTTCAGGCTGTCAGAGATCGAGGCGCAGAACTCCTTCAAATCTACGTGGATCATCATCCACAACAAAGTTTACGATGTGACCAAGTTTCTGGAGGAGGTGAGCAGATCTTACGCATGGAAGTGTTCATGGTTTCACAATCACAGCTTTTACCCTGATGCTGTTTGAGGCAGACAGGTGCGTGGCTAGGCGTTACAGCTGTGTGGGGTCCGGGCCCCGCGCATCCTGTGGGTTACTGTTGTATATTAAATAAATGCAAAAAGAAAACGTGCGAACTCGAGGTCGACAGGTATTGGTTTTCCTATAGCCATGCCGACACAGAGGAGCCACGGTCAGCCAACGGCCGATTTTCTTGGCCGAAATCTAAACGTTTTCCACCTTATTTTCATGCTGAAATGTTACTAATAACATCCGTTCATGCACATAATGAATCAGTTTTTGAACCCTGAATTTAACGAACTGTTGAATCTTAAGTTTGTGCTCAGCTCAGTATTAAAGTCAGACACCTAAATAAAGTTTATTTAGAGCACTTTTTATGCAGATGTTGTCGGTAAAAATACGTTTTCGTGAAATTCTGCAATAGCGCCGGGCTGCCAGAGGATGTGCCTGACTTTAAACCAGCTTTACGAAGGACAATCATTGGCCGATGGCCCTGTATAACAACGTATCGGTCTACCCCAAATGCAAACATCGTGTTCACATAAACCATCAAAACTCTAATGAAATAATCAATATGAACTGGAATGTATGAAATCATAGTTTACATGTTATGTGGCACCAAAACCAAAGTCACGAATAAAGCATATGTGTACAATATTCATGTGTACATAATGTTGGAGTATTCTGATGTTTGATCTTCAGCTGATGCTTTAGTACCGTGTCGGTTTGGTTCTGAGAACCATCTGATTTCCATCAGATGGTTCCGTTCCAGGCGTCTCTGCAGAACATCAGATATGAACGAAATGAGAAAAGCAGATAAAACGTTGCTGTTTGCAGCAGCAGGGCTATCTGTATTTACATGTATGTGTGTAGTGGCTGAGACTTGGATGAGGTCTTTAGAACCAGGAGAACATGGAGGTTCTGCTGATGATCAGCACCAGAACCTCCACCAGGCAAAAGCAGCTGGTTTGTTTATTTTTCTGAATAAATCAGTTTATTTAAATCAGAACATTTTAGTTCCTCCAGAGCCGTAAAATTGCGTTAGATCTGGATCAGTTGTGGTTTTCCTCGTTCTCCGGTAAACACACGCAGGACCTTTCACACACTGATAAACCCAACCCGCTGGACTTTAGCCTGAATCAGAACCGCTGGCTGTACAGAGGCCAGGTTGCAGGCGTGGTATCTGACGGGTTCTAGCTGTTCTCAGGGATCGACGACTGTCGCTCAAACAAGCCCCTACACACCTGGGGGCTTGTCCGGGATGCTTGGATGTAGAAAAGAGGAAGATGGCAAAGAGGCACACTGTTGGGCTGAGGCTGACGATAGAAACACTCCTGGTTCTGGTACAGCGACAGTTGAACGGTTCTGATGAGTTTCAGACATTCTGCTGCAGAACGTTAATGAGTATCAGCAAGCTGGATCAGGCAGAACCACAGATAAGACCGGGATAAACACGGGCGTGGTCCGAAAAGTTCTGTTACAGTAATCAGACTGACCCAGTCCAGAACTCTTTCCTCTCCAGCAGCGTTTCTGGTTCTGGATCAGCTCTGCAGACCTTCTGAAGGACTTTTTCTTTGGACTTGGTCTGATCTGTCCCTAGGTTCTGGTTCTGATGAAGACCATTTTACAGGGTTTGGAGGTTGTGGTTCTGGTGGAGGCCTGAACCAGGACTCTAGCAGTACCAGTTTGTGGGTTTTGGGTCAGAACCTCCTGAGTGAGTGTTTTTGTTTCAGCATCCCGGTGGTGAGGAGGTTCTGAGGGAGCAGGCAGGAGGGAACGCCACCGAGAGCTTCGAGGATGTCGGCCACTCGTCAGACGCCAGAGAGATGGCCGCCAGCATGGTGATCGGAGAGCTGCACCCGGTCAGTACCAGAACCAGAACCTCCACAGGTCTATAGCCACACCCTCACTCGGACGCTAATGTGTTTGTGTCCGTCTGCAGGATGACCGGCACAAGATCGCCAAACCTGTGGTGAGTGGGGCATTATGGGAAATGTAGGAAACTCGGGTTTAGGAGGGATTCTCATCGTGTTTGTGTTTCCTAGGAAACGCTGGTTACCACGCTGAAGGAGGAGTCCAGGTACACACACACACACACACACACACACACACACACACACACACACACATCTATACACACACACACACACACACACACACACACACACACACACACACACACATCTATACACACACACACACACACACACACACACACACACACACACACACACACACACACATCTATACACACACACACACACACACCGGGTTAACTGTCGAAGTTTAATGAGTTAAAAATTTAACCAGCTGGTTTTTTTTGGGTTTAAGTTATTTCAGTGGGTTAATAGTAACTAGTTAACCAGCGGGTTGTTATTGTTACTGGTCATTTTTGTTGCGTTAGTTAGTTAGTTAGTTAGTTAGTTAGTTAGTTAGTTAGTTAGTTCTGGGTTTTCTGGCTTTGTATTCTTCATACTTCTATTTGTTTTAATAATAAACCAGCGGCTCAGTGGGTTCATTAATTAACCAGCTAACTATTATGTGTCACTACCCACAGGTAGTTATTTATTGATAGATATTTTAAATCCATATTCTTACATGTATGATTGGTTAGCTGTTTACTGGTTAACTAGCTGGTTAACTGTGTGCCTCTGTCCTGCAGCTGGTGGTCCAACCTGGTCATTCCCGCCCTGGCAGCTGCCATCGTAACGCTGGTTTACCGTGTCTTTACATCAGAGAGCGAGTGACTTAAATGGCCCGGCCGGTGTGATGTCATCACCCTGCGACAGCGATGCTGTGACTCCTCCCAGCGTAGAGCTGTGTTTCTAGAGCAGAATTCCTGCTTCGGACAACCGACCGTGTGACGTTAAACTCTGTTCTAGGATCAGCACCTCTAGGCTGAAATTCCCAGAATACATTTCCCTCCGTTTAAGCGACCAATCACGAGGCATTATTGTAATGAAGTCATTGAATATTCAGGTTTGTAAACGTTTCTGTTCTGCAGAGATGTTCTGGGTTTTGATCAGACGTGTTTTTATATCTTTGGACCTGAATGTGAACAGGTTTTCTGTTTGAGTGAGCAGCTAACGAGCTAACGAGCTAACGGACGTCTGCAGTGAGCTTCACGCCGGTCGATGCTGCAGATCTCAGATCAGATGTGACCAGAACCCAAACCCGTCACGAACAGCAGCTGATTGGTCCGACTCATTACAGCTTTGATTGTTTCAATCAGTTGAAAACAGGAAAATCTTTTAGTTCACAAATAAAACGTGAAGTGAAGCAAAGAAGAAACACTAAAACCTTTACAGGCTGTTAGAAATTCTCCATGAAAGTCAGAAAAGGTTCTGTACTCAGCAGGAACCCGGATCAGCTGAGCCCGATAAAACCCAACTGTAGTGAAACCTCCCGAGTCTGAGCCATGGTCCGGATGTCTGAGCGCTGCAGCAGGAACTAAAAGTGAGCTTCTGGGATGTCCTGATGCGTGCAGAACCCCAGACCAGATTCTGATGGTGACCAGAACCTAAACAGCTGCTTTCAATGCAATAAAGGTGATTCCTACCAGAGTTTGGTGCTGCTTCTTTGCTTTGCTGTGGTCATGTGACCTGCACATCTTTGCATTTTTTCTTCATCAGAAATATTGAAACAAGGAACATTTTAGATTGGATCTGTAACGGATGCAGGTGGAGAAGGAAACCACCCTGATCCAGCACCCTGCGGAGTCCCCGGGAATCCTCTCAGATAGGATTACCAGAGATCAGCTGGGATCCAGTTGGGATTAAGAATCATTCAGTGAGACGAAACGTGACATTGTGTTTAAAATGTCTGAAACTTGTTTGTATCATGAGTAAATGGAAATAAAACGTAGACATTTCCGTTAAACATCAAAACTGTTTTCAACTGCATTCCCTCAGATGAACCCACAATAACAAAACACCAGTTAGAGAAAAGCTAAATGCTTTTAAAACAAATCTAATCTAGAATCTGGACTGCTATTGGCTGAAGCTAAATAACTGGGCTCTACAGAATAGCTTGCCAGGCTATAAAAAAACTTGTAGATCAAATATTTGAGTCAAAACATGAATTTATTGTCATTTCCTGCCACATGCAGCACATTTACACTTTAATGTTTAGTCGCATCCCTATAATAAACGTGTTTTATCATCATTTAGAGCGTTTGAGCAGAAAACAAAATATAAATATAAAACATGAATAATAAAGATTTTCCGCCATCTATTGGCCAAAACCGAAAACTACAACACTTTTAAAGGGTTAGGTCCTTGTTTTCATCGTGCTGACAGATCAAACCTCGGCGTCTGAATCTTCTGAGCCTTTCACGTGTCTGATGGTTGGAACATTTGTGTCATGTATGGCTGTAGGGTTCAAGGTGCAGGTGAGACCTCCAGAGGGCAAGCAGGTAAACTCAACCATATTTAATAAAGTAAAGATTCAAAAGCGTGAAATCAGACAGAAACAGGACGAGGGATCAGGATGGTCACGATGACGGGAAGATCCAACAAGGACGAATAAAACCTGCTGGCTTAAATCATGGAGGAGGTGAGTTCATGGGACACAGGTGGGTGAGTGAGGAGCGGAGGGAAGGTGAAGAGTAACTCCGAACACATACAAGGAAAATAATCCTAAACACAGGAAAACTGCACACACACACACACACACACACACACACACACACACACACACACACACACACACACACACACACACACACACACACACACACACACACACAGTATCTCTCTGTTGTTAGTTTTAACACCTATAAAGGGATGTTTCCTATAATTAACTTGGAGAATACAGGATAACGGACCTACAGCTGGGACTGCATCAGGAGTAACTGGGATGTTTTCTTCAGAAATGAATCAGTTATAATGTCTCCTTCCTGGTTAAACAACTGCTTTACCAATAATACACCCTCCTCCACCAAAAGATTATATGTAGATATTTATTCATTTAATTTTAAAACATAGTAACTTTACACAATAATAAAAAAGAACGAATAAAACTTACTTTAGGAGCAGATAGAAGAAATCTGCCCCATTCACACCATTAGCAAAACGTAGATATTCTCACTAACAAAGATGAAGACCGCTGCCACTAATCAACAATCCTTGAATGCAGTTTCAGAACATTAGTTATTGATCATTGCTGATGATCAATACAGAAAAAACTAAATTAAAATAAAAAATACACCCAAGATTATTCATATCATCTCTTAACATTAAGTTTTTTACATTCTGTTTAAACATGACTGGTCTGACTTACTTCAGCTACATTCTGGTTATTCCAAACAAAACCGCGATGAAGGGAAAGGATATGTCGCTTATGGTAGTTAGCACACACACCGGTGCTTTTCTGTTCTCTGATGTTTATCACTCACTTCCGGTTGTGTTAGTATAAGTAAACTTTTTCTGACTTTTATAATAAAAAATAAAACCATAAACATTTAAATAAACTAAGACAAACTGAGGTTATCTTTGTTTTATTATGATTTGGACTTCAGCTCTGCTGGAATAAAGGTGGATGATGATGATGGTGAAATCCTGTTATCAGCTGAAACGTGACGTCACGAGGCTGGCACTGGTGACGCTGTGTTTGTTACTTTGCCTGTTTTGACGCACGTCACGTGCCGGACGTGTTACGTAACAACAAAACCTGAGGGGGGAAGTTTTATCAACTCAAGAGTTGTGTGTTGATTTAAAACGTTTCTGTTTAAATGAGAAACACAAACTAAACCAATCAGAGGTTACTGACGTCACTGACCTGAAAACGGACTAAAATCTAATTTTTCTGCCTCATTTTAACTTTCTGTGTTTATGGGCTACCGTTGGGTGACGTCATCAACGTGTGTGTGTGTGTGTGTGTGTGTGTGTGTGTGTGTGTGTGTGTGTGTGGTCCAGGCACACAGAAGGGGGGAGTGGGGGGGGGGGGGGTCCCTATAGAAGTCCACGTCCCTCTGGACTCTGCGCACTCATGTCCCGTTCACCTCCACTGATCCGCGGTCCGGTTCGGTCCGTGCAGAACGGTCTGGACAGTGAGGAGGAGGGGGAGGGGGACCTGGACGACGAGCTGGACGCGTCCCACCTGGAGCGGTTCATGAGGGACCGGAGGAGAGCCCGGTCCCTGCCGGCCTACCCGGCCGCGCTCCTGGACCCGGACTCGGGCAGGAAGCGGGTAAAGTTCGCGGACTCCATGGGTCTGACCCTGACCAGCGTGAAACACTTCAGCTCCCAAGAGGAGCCGCAGATCCCCACCAAGGTCCTGTCCCGGTACAAGAGCTTTCCCCCGCAGCAGGACGTCCTGGGGGACCTGTGTCAGAACTTCAGGTCCAGTCTGGACATGGACCGGCTGGTGGCCTGCTTCCCGGAGCTCCGGGACGCGGACCGCAGGGTCCAGGAGCTGCGGGTCTGCCTGGAGCAGGTCTCCATTACGCAGTTCGAGGTTCGGGGGCAGATCCGGGTCCGGAGAGGCTGCAAGGTCCGGGAGGTCGGGATCCGGTACACCTTTAACGACTGGCTTTCGCACGTGGACGCGCAAGCCCTGCCGGTGTCGCCGGTGGAAGAGCCGGGATCCGAGGCTCGGTTCTCCTTCACCGTGTACACCCCACCGTTCATGGACCCGAGTTCGGCCGTCCACTTCGCCGTTTTCCTGCGGAGCGACCAGGGCGAGTTCTGGGACAACAACCTGGGTCAGAACTACACGCTCCGGTACCGGAGCATGCCGGACCACGGCTTCGTCAGCTCCGTTCTCCACGCCACCTGAACCCGAAGGACCGGTCCACCAGAGACACCGAACCCGTCAGTGGCTGTAAACTGACCAGAACAAACATCTGGGTCAGCTTCTGATCCGAACCCCTACAGCAGGATGTTCTGCTGGATCAGTTAATCCACAAATGTAGAAAAATAATCAAATCCTAAAGGTTTTTATCACTTTTTAATGATTAAAGTCTCTACAGCGAGTCAGGGGGGACAAAAAGTTTCTTTAGAATCCAACATGGCCGCCTCGCGCTATTAGCTCCCAGCCAGTAATTAAATGGACGATGAACCTCACATGAGCGAAAGTGGAATCAAACCTGTAGCTCAATAAATGTTTAAGGGATTTTCAGTCGTGTTTTTCTGCTTCTGTGTGAAAGTTACAAATAAATCAGTTCTAGATAATTTCTTAGAGCCAACGAGACAACAGCTAATCCTAGCTAGCCGCTATTTAAGCTAATGGGTAGTCCAAGCTAACAGCTAATCCTAGATAGCAGCTATTTAAGCTAATGGGTAGTCCAAGATAACAGCTAATTCTAGCTAGCTAATGGATCGTCTGAATGAAGACCAAAGTGTTGCTGCTGTATTAAATCAGCTCTAACTTCCTAAAATCCACAGCTGTTTGAGTCTTTATTTTAAAAACTTTTACTGCGTTTCACTTCTTTCTCATAGTTTTATTTTGTTCCATGAGGCCCCGCCCACTCCATACCAGATATGTTGTAAGTGGAAGTCAAGGCATGGGTGGAGACTTATTTCAACCAGACTTCCGGTTGGCGAAAGGCGTTGCTCAGAGGACCGAGAGAGCGCCACTGAGGCAATCATTGGCAGCATCCCTTTCAACCCCCCCCCCGGAGTTTCTCAGTAAAAAAAAAAAAGAGTTGTTAACAAGAGCGCGCACGAACAGCAGACTCCCCACTCAGGAGAAGAGCAGACAGAGACTGGCTGCAGGAAGGAGGACTTCCTGTTCACCTCCTTCATTAGAAAACATGGGAGGAGGACGTTTTTCTTAAGGAGGCGAGCGGCTCCGAGCACCTACGTGTCATACGTGTCAGGTGGAGGTGCGGCGAGACTCATCAGGAGTCCAGTGCAGTGCAGCCACGTAGCACGGTACTGAGGACACCCTGCTGCGCTACAGCCCTCAGCTGTGGCTGATTCTACGTCAGTGTGGAGCAGCTTGCACCTGAAGATGGAGACAGAACTACAGTTTGGGGCTGAAGTATTACATTTAAAATAAGTTGTACTGAACTGCCAAAATGAAGATTACACGCGTGTACAGCACTATCAGACACTCATCTATACAACAATAAGCTAGTTTAGGTGTTTCTGGCTCTTTAACCCCAACCCTTCCCTCTGCAGCAGCGTATGCAGCGAAGACCTGAAGCAACAAAGGAAGAACTAAGTAGAAAAAGTGATGTGACTTTCACAAACAAATCAAATCTTTTGAAAGGGATTTAAAAGTGAACAATGAAAGATCAACCAATCAAATTTTATTTGTAGAGCACCTTCCACAACATTATCAGAAGCCCAAGGTGCTGAACAGCATCATCATAAAAACATTCCCAGTACCTGGGCATAAAAGCAAGATAAAAACATAAAATCATAAAATATCAAGAAAACAATATTACAAATACAGAGATAACGAAAGAGGAGTCTCTGTAGAGAACTGTTCATCGTGTCTTCCAGTAACCCCCCACCCTGCTCTCACCGACTGCTTCGTTCAAAAGACTGACTCTTTTGAACGGCTCTTTCAGAGCCCCAAGTCCCATCAATAGTAAAAAAGTCTGAAACTAACAAAAGTCTGATAAATAACTCCAAATTAAACATGTCTATAAAAGTTTTTAAAATTCTTTCTGTCCAGAAAATCAATTTAAGAACATTTCTTTGCAACAATTTCATTAACCCTTTGATGCATGATTTATGAAATCTTCAACCATTATTTTTTTAACAATTTTTTTCATTCATCTTCAGGTGTGAATGAAACAAATTTCAACAAATATTTTTTTGTAAAATTTTATAATTTACAAATAATTTATTACATGTCCACCTCAGTGGACAGCGTGCATTCTGAACATGAAATATGTTGGCTTGGCTTACTGAAGTCCAAATGGAGGGGCTCAAATGCAATAAAGTCTTCAACAGCTGTGCTTAATAGCAAAAACAAATGCATAACAATTTTGAGTACCTGTCCACTGTAGTGACCATTATGCATCAAAGGGTTAAGGGATCAAAATAAATAAAGACCTCATGATAAACTTCATCATGAGGTCTTTATTTATTTATTTTACATTCAGTAGCGGTGACTAAATTGCTGGGAAGTTCTGACGAGGGATCCAGCCAATAGCAGCCTTGGCGTGTATGTCACACGAATCGCTGGCAAATGAAGGAAGCCAACAGTCTTCTCACAGACTAGCCGTTAGCTCATCAATCTGGTGAAACTAGATCGAGTTGGTTGCAGTTTGCAGTTTGAGCCTCTAGGTGTCACCAGATACACACAACATAAACACGAAGAGATGATGGTTTTCAGGTTTTGGTCCAAATGGAACAACAAACAGGATGTTCTGGGGTCAGACTGGGGAAAAAAGAGTTTTTATGGTAAAACCTCTCTTGCCTCTGCACAGCTGCTGTTTGCTTCCTGCTGAGAATATTTCCTTCAGCTGGGAATCAAATATTTGTTTTAAGGTTGCAGTTTTGGGACGTGATGAAACTCAGAGCGCCTGCTCCAACTCCGACGCTGGACTGGTGAAAAGTTCTGGATCCACATCCATTCGACATGAAAACATCAAGTTAATTCTGCAGACCCTGCTGCATCGTGTCCACTCAGACATTCTAATTCGGACTGTAAGACAGTAAAACGTCAGTTTTATTTTCTCGTTTGTGCTGAATTTGACTCATTAAGGAGAAGTTTCTGCAGCTTCAACTCAGATTTCCATTGTCTCTGCTTTTCTCTGGAAGCTGCTTCACGTTTTCTTTCAAAATGTCTTCAATTAATAAAATAAAGGTTTGAGTCAAAATAGAAGTCACCCACCGGCTCTCAGGCTCCTGCTTTTAAACAAACAAAGACTTTTGTTATGGTTCTGCTGCAGGAAACAGACCCAGAAGGTTCTGTTTACTCAGCTTCTGATCTAATATTTGAGAAGATTTCTGGTTTCTACAAACTCGTATAAAGATTTAGAAAACTTGATGTTGCAACCGCCTCACCTCAGCAGTGCGCCCAGGGCAGCTGTTGCTGCATCGTAGCTCATCATCGCGTGTGTGTGAATGGGTGAATGACTAAAGCACCTTGGGGGGGTTGTAGAACCCTATGAAGGCGCCGTTCACCAGTTAGCTGCCATCTCTGCAGCAGCTTCTCTGAACAGTTTTCTAAAATGTCGGCCTACAGAACGTGTGATCAGCTACCTCAGTAGCTGGGGCTGCTTTGGCCTGGACTGCTGCAGCAAGGCGGCGTGGCATCTGCGGCGCTGCTCAGGTGTACGGGAGCTCATGTTGCTCTGATAGTGGCCTTCAGCTCTTCTGCATCTCCATAAAGTTGGCCAGCAGCAGGAAGTATGAAGTGCTGGTAGATGGCTGCGTTGACCTTGGACCAGCACATGTAGAAACTTCACACTGGAGCTCAAGCTACATGGATTCTGCACCCCTCCTCCCTTCCTCCAGACTCCGGGACCTTGATTACCGAAGAAAATGCAAACTTTACTTTGATCGGAGAAGATAACTCTGGAGCACTCAGCAGCAGTCCACTTTTTGTGCCTCCTCCACATTTCTGAACGGGTTTTGTTTCACAAGCCACTCCAGGGGGCGGGTATCCCTGGTGCTTGAACACTTTTTCCCACATCGTGTCCTTCCCGTCCCCACTCTGTCCATGTGCTCGGACACAGCTCTGTGAACAGCAGTGAGCTGCTGTGTCTGGCCCTCCTTGTGTAAAGGGACAATGGCCGTCTTTAGTCAGCAGTCTTCCCCACGACTGTAGCCTACAGAACTAGACTGCAAGACCATTAAAAGGCTCTGCAGGTGTTTTGAGTAAATTAGCTGATTAGAGTGGCACCAGCAGTCTTCAATATTGAACCTTTTCACAATATTTTCTGAGTTACTGAATTTGGGATTTTCATCAGTTGAATCATCAACACTAAAGAATAATCTGAAATGTTTGTGTGTAGAGAACGAATCTAATCCACAAGTTTCACCTTTTGGATGGAATTACTGAAATAAACCAACTTTTTTTACTATATTCTAGTTTTACGACCAGCAGAGGAAGTCACCCCCCCACCAGACTATTACTCCACTCCCACTTCCTGTTTGAAAAATGCAACAAATGCTGTTGCCTAGCAGACCGAGAGGGCGGAGCCGCTAACAAATACACACACAGACTCACAGCGGCATTGTGACATCATATGGTACCAGCTAACGTTCTAGGGTACCTCTTAGCCAATAGCGATGGCAGATTTAAATTCAAAAGCAGTGCAGAGTTTTAGCTGACAGTTTTAGGCAGAAAGTTTAAACTTTAACTAAAATGCACTAAAGTGCTAAACTATTGACGACACGTGTCTGCAGCACGATTAGACACACGTTTCTTTAGTTTATCAGGAAAACAAGTTGATTTGGGGGTGACTTGCTCTTTAAGTATCCTGTCTGACCTGGTGGTCTGGGATGGAGACCACTCTCAGCTACCAACTGGTTTAGAGACACTTTGGTGTTTGCTGATGCTGACAGCCTTTGGCAGCCATCTTGAATTAGATTGTCTCGAGACGTGAATCAGCTGCAGATGTTACCATCAAAACGTTTCATCAGAATCCATCCAGAGGTTCAGAGATGTTCTGGTGAGGAACACCAGCATGTAAAGCATGATAATGGCAAGAGATGGTCTCCTCCACCAGGTCTTCACCCTGACAGAAGAGTCAAAGACCAGCAGGAGTGGAACAGATCTGAGGTCAGCGCCTTCATCAGCTTTACCGCAGCTTATGTGATGAAGATGAGGGAGCATTCAAATGAAAACATGAAGATTTGTTTCTGACTCGGTACGTGTCAGCCGGCTCTCTGTCCTGTTGTCTTTATGCTGGGACCAAAGTCCGGAAGTCCTCTGAAAACTGTCCTGTTGACAAGCCGTCCTCACATGTTTAGTGAGTAAACACAAAGCAGAGGCACAGAAATTATTACAGATGAACTCAAGAGCCCATTTTACTGGAAAACATCCGATCCTTACAGGAAAACCCATCAGGTCAGCCCGGAAAACCTGGGATACAAACAGGAGTCCAGCGCTAGAAGGTCCTCCTGTGTTTGGTGGTCTGCTGCTTCGATTCTGGCTGAGAGGTCCGTTTCACCCGGCAGACTTAGATTAAAGAGTTATAAAGACTTAAGTAGAACCCTGGTTTACATGGAGTTCCTCATGGCTCCGTCCCAGTTCCCTTCATGTTTCTGTTGGAACTGGTGACTCAGACTTCTGGACCACCAGACCAGATCAGCAGGTAGGAATAAAACCAGAGCCTAAATGAAACCAGACCCTAACAGAACTGAACCTTCTCCTCAGATGTAAGTTTGAAGACGTAAACACGCGTGTGAACCAGCGTTTAGTAAACGTTGGTGCTGCTTTGGGTCTTGCTGTTGTTACATAAGGCAAGTAACAGGATCGATCTGAACTCAAAACCTCAGACAGGACACTTCTCTGGATAAAAGTCAGTCCCAGGATGTTCTGTGACTCTGAATCGTGTTCCTGGAGCTCAGTAATACACAGAAACGGGTCAGAACAGAGTCTGAAGTTCTGCAGGAGCTGAATGGGCATGTGCATGACTCTGCAGAAGCTCCACGGAGCATCCTCTCAGTGTGTGTTCATGTGTCGAAACATCAATTGGCTCTTGAGCAACGTGTGTGTGTGTGTGTTTGCCTTAAACCAACAGACGGGTCTATCAATAGAACCAGGAGGCAGCCAGGGGTCACTGACCCGCTTCCCTTTCAACCTCCTGCCCCAAACAGTTTGAAAGTTAAACACAGGATCCACAACCTCCAGGGAGTTAGACAGGTACATCCTCCAGGAGTTAGACAGGTACAACCTTCAGGAGTTAGACAGGTACAACCTCAGGAGTTAGACAGGTACATCCTCCAGGAGTTAGACAGGTACAACCTTCAGGAGTTAGACAGGTACAACCTTCAGGAGTTAGACAGGTACAACCTTCAGGAGTTAGACAGGTACAACCTTCAGGAGTTAGACAGGTAAAAACTTCAGGAGTTAGACAGGTACAACCTTCAGGAGTTAGACAGGCAAAACCTTCAGGAGTTAGACAGGTACAAACTTCAGGAGTTAGACCAGTACAAACTTCAGGAGTTAGACAGGTATAACTCAGGAGTTAGACAGGTACAACCTTCAGGAGTTAGACAGGTACAACTTCAGGAGTTAGACAGTACAAACTTCAGGAGTTAGACAGGTACAACCTTCAGGAGTTAGACAGGTACAACCTTCAGGAGTTAGACAGGTACAAACCTTCAGGAGTTAGACAGGTTACATCCTCCAGGAGTTAGACAGTACATCCTCCAGGAGTTAGACAGGTACATCCTCCATGAGTTAGACAGGACAACCTTCAGGAGTTAGACAGGTACAACCTTCTGAGTTAGACAGGTACAACCTTCAGGAGTTAGACAGGTACAACCTTCAGGAGTTAGACAGGTACAACCTTCAGGAGTTAGACCAGTACAACTTCAGGAGTTAGACAAGGTACAACCTTCAGGAGTTAGACAGGTACAACCTTCAGGAGTTAGACAGTACAACCTTCAGGAGTTAGACAGGTACAACCTTCAGGAGTTAGACAGGTACATCCTCCATGAGTTAGACAGGTACAACCTTCAGGAGTTAGACAGGTACAACCTTCAGGAGTTAGACAGGTACAACCTTCAGGAGTTAGACAGGTACATCCTCCATGAGTTAGACAGGTACAACCTTCAGGAGTTAGACCAGGTACAAACTTCAGGAGTTAGACAGTACAAACTTTTTTCAGGAGTTAGACAGTACAAACTTCAGGAGTTAGACAGTACAAACTTCAGGAGTTAGACAGGTATAAACTTCAGGAGTTAGACAGGTATAAACTTCAGGAGTTAGACAGGTATAAACTTCAGGAGTTAGACAGTACAAACTTCAGGAGTTAGACAGTACAAACTTCAGGAGTTAGACAGGTACAAACTTCAGGAGTTAGACAGTACAAACTTCAGGAGTTAGACAGGTACAACCTTCAGGAGTTAGACAGGTACAAACTTCAGGAGTTAGACAGGTACATCCTCCATGAGTTAGACAGTACAAAACTTCAGGAGTTAGACAGTACAAACTTCAGGAGTTAGACAGTACAAACACACATATCAAAGGTCAAAGGTCACAAATGTTTAGCTACAAAAATGAGCAAAAAAATCAATTCAAATGTGAGACTTAAACAAGCTGACGCCCAGCAGAGAGGAAGGGGGAGGAGCCTGTGGAGCAGCTATCACATTCTGCTGCATCTGATTCTGATCGATCAGCCTTCATGTGAAACTAAACTTGTGCTAATCTGAGTTAATCTTACAGGATTATCAAACACACAACTCTTTTCTTACATTATCAGATTTATTATAGTTGATCATAAACATATTTACAAGTTTTCCTCAGATAAACACAGAAACACAACAAACCTGCAGATTCTGGTTTTACTTTTGGTTGCAAAATTAGAATAATTCATCAGATTATTGAAGAACCAGATCCCAATCTTAGTTTAACTATAGTGAAAACAAATTGGAAAAACTCACACTCCATAGAGACAAATGTCCCCGCTGCATTGTGGGTAATGTAGGCAGCTGACATCAGTGCTCGTATAGTTTCATGGCTGTGTTGAGTTAAATCAGACCGACCTCCACCTGAGACAACAGGAAGTTTACGTTTGTCTGCGTCACCTTCAGCAGACGTGTCCGTCCGCCTCTACCTCCCGCCGTCTTCTCCTGGTGGATTTTGGTTTTTCTAACTCAGGTTTTATTTCTGCTGATGAAAACACTCAAACTCAGCTCCACACAGCCGTTGTCCTACAATTCCCACAACGCCTTTCACAGCTCCATCTGGTCAGGCTGATCGGGGTCAAACAGGAAGAAGGCGGAGTCACAGTGACAGGCGCCTGCACGGGTTCTGAGTAGCCATTACTCCACCACGGTCTTCTGTGCCTCGTACATCCTCCCAATGGACAC